TAGGCGTGAGGGGTAAGTTACAACATAAATCGAAACTATATAAAATAGACATAAGTCTGTAGAAGATATAATTAATTAACTAGCTTTCGATAAGGTTTTAATCGATAAAAATATCGGGAGTAGTTATCGATTTTTAGTGATAAACTTGATGTTCGCGTGATATACACGGAACTAGGAAACAAAATTTCAAGAGTCTAGCTCTTATATCTTCGTTCATACATACGGACGGACGTCTGCCCGTTACATACATTTCAGGGTATAAAGAGTGAGGTCACTGCATATCTCCTCTTGGTATATAAAATTTTATGTATTATAGGAATCGCGATTGCGCTCCTTGAATCGATAATCCGCAAGTTGATTCATCTCCTACAGATCGAACTATGTATAAATATTATGACATGGTCACTGAATTTAAACTTAAATTTAATCACTTTCAAAGCGCGAACGAGTATTACGCAGTCGGCATTACATGTCTTTTTGCAACATTTACAGTCAGCACAGAATATGATACATATGTACATACATACATATGTACATACATGGAATTAATTAATCGCACTTAGGATTATTGATTTCATTTACAACTAATTACTCGAATTCCTAGCTGAACAACGAGACGTAATTCTTGCTATTGATACTTGACAATGTTTTAGCTGAGTTCTCAACTAAGTGGCACCGTTTGATCCGTCACTTGTTGATTCCAGAATTCAAGCTTTTGCTCCATCTGCTCAGAGGTGAGTTTTGTTGGCAGCACAGTCGGCTTCTCCGGCAGTCCCAGGGCTCGGAGATGGTACAAGAAGAACTCATACCTATCATAATCATGCATTTTGGTGTAGTGGAAACTTATGGCCGTCTCGGCACAGCAGTCGCTCATCTGTGAATATGAAATGCAATTACAGTAATCTATATTAATTCAATCCCAGCTGAGAGGAGGGCATACATTCGGCGTAAAGTAGGAGTAAGTCGTCAGCCAAGTGCCGTTTTGAATGCTCGGCATCAAGTGCCTGGGATGAAGGGGTAGGAATCTCTCGCGGCCATGCTCATCCCTGGAGTCCCCGGCGGTTACGCCCACATTTAGCAAGCAGTAGCCAATTTGTCTGTCCTCTGAATAGGTATTAAGCGGACAGAATTTTGTGTTGTTCAGCGCGAAGAGGTTCAAGCGACGCAGTGCATCGCGACTGAGCACATAGCCAGCACCGCCGGACATGTAGCCATGCGGATATGAAGTGCGAAATCGATAGCCGAAGAAGACAGCCGCCTCCGGGTCGAACGGGTAGAGGAACATTCTCAGATTCTCCATTATCACATAGCTGAGAGAAATGCAGTCAGCAGTCAACAGTCAACAGTCAGCAGAGCAGAACAATTGAATGCCGTAGGTTATGCGCCACTTACGTGTCGTCGTCCGCCTTGAGAAACCAGTCATAATCCTCCACGAAATGCTCGTAAGCATAGGCGAACCCCGCCCGCACCTTGCTGTACAGGTTGTCACGGCTCTCCGACACATTCAGATTCACGGCGCCGAGCGCGTCGTCGTCTTCGCTGCTCATAAAGATCAGCTTGTTGCAGCGCGAGCCCCAGGTGGAGAGAACCTTAGCCGCCTTGGTCTTGTGGTGAGCTGGCATGGTCAGCACCAGGCAGAGCACACGTGCCTCATGAAACAGCCAATCCGCCGGCGACGGCCTGGTGCGAGACGCATCTGTGTCGACCGCAACAACCGTGCTCTCATACTCCTCACCCGTAAGCGTCATGTAGTCCCACAGCTCGGTCAGCTGCATGCCCACAATCAGGCCCAGCGCCAGACACAGCATATTCCGAAACATGCCGCCCGACCAGCCCGCACATTTGCCGAAACTTTCAACTTTGGGCCGTACGAAATCTTCTCCGAGCGAAGTGCCTCTGCATTCAGGTGCCTCGCGACTGATCGCTCAGCTCGAAAACGGTCTCCAAATAAGTGACTCTTGCACAGCCGTGGGCTAAAAACGAGTTTTGATTTGGTTTGGCTTGTGAATCGCATAACAAATGAATTACAATGCTCTGAAGACGTTCGCCGACTAAATTTAACAAACTCTTCTCTGCTCCATTCCCTTTCCAAGTCCAAGAATAGAGGAAACGCCGTAAGCTTATTGAAGTGCGAACCATACATAGAACGTAAGTAGCAGCTTGACGTAACGAACTTCTCTTTTAATAATGTTGAATATTTTACACTCTTATGTCACACTTGCTCTATGGTGAAAACGGTGAGCTTTGCGTTACAATTTGAGGTTGACTCAAATATTCAAATAAATAAATATGGAATGTAATAGAAGTCCAAATCGATAACGAAATTGTTGCAATATATTTTCGACAAACCTTTAAGCTATTAAGCAGAAACCTTGAATGAGTCGATTCTATTTCATTTACCCTCCGTTTTATATTCAATGTAATATATAGTCTATACAAGGCACATTGTATTATTCATTCATCTTGTTGATTTCGAAAGAGTATTCAAGATTCGGCCTTTCAATAAACCACCATACACATTGCTTGCTATTTTGAGAACCGGTTTTGAGCGTCTTCGTGCCGTGTTGTTTTTGACCTACACACCTGAATCTGTTAGCGACTCTCTTAGCTTGTCTCATTTCACTTTTCGTCCGCCTTTGCCCTTTGGTACTCTCCCACATATATTTGTGAAAACAATTGATTTTGGTAATGGTATTATTTTATTGCTAGTTTAATTTTCATTTTAGGTTCGCTTGATTTATCATATTACAATTTATATAGGTATGTTTAATCTTTAGTTAGTACAACTTTTCAATTCGTTTGTTTCAGTTTACACTAAATGTGGGCTAATATTATTACGAGTTCTTTGTATCTTCGTTCAATATGTCTCAAATCGTATTTCAATGTCTAAAGACTCATTCCGTTTTCTGCTTTCTGCTTCCATTCGCAATATGTATATTCAAAATTGCTTATCTGCATCGCCGTTCCGACTTTCTCTTTCGCAATAGAAAATTATTACAAAACATTTAACCTTAACTTTAACTTTTGTTTGTTTGTCGTTTGCTTGTATACTCTCATAATTGTTTAATTATTACTTATAGCTGAAATTATTTATTATTTCATGTATATCTTATCTGTTTATCGTATTCTCGTTTATACGTTTAGTAAGTGCACTTGCCAATTTTCGTTTATTTCATTTTCATTCCTTCTAGGGTCACAACAATTATTTCTCAAATAACGGGAAAACAAAGGTAAACAAAAATTGTCAGGCAATGACTCATCAACATTTATGATTTATATGATTTTACGACTTAAACAATTGTTAATTTGTATTTAGTTAGTTACACAGCCTTAGAAACTACATAAACATAAAACATATACGAGGGCTATTAAAAACGATGTAGCGCCAAAAGCAATATTAAAAAAAAGGAAACAAATGTTAATAAATTAACAATTTAAAAAAAAAGTATAAAATTTTGCAAAATCTAGAAAGGCTTTTATAATTTGGGGCCTGGCTTCCGGAGTATTAAATAATATTAAACAATAAAACAAATTTTTCACAAAAATTTACATCTATTACGTCTTTAGTTTGGGTAGCTTTTTGTTTTTGTTTTAATATATATAGTATATATATCTACATATATGCGATGTATGTTGAACATATAAATGTTGCTTGAAAAAATATATGTTTAAGAAAATTATCATGATTTTCCTCAGCTTTTTAGTTTTTCTTTCCTTTGAAGTATAAATTTAATTTATGTTTATTTATATGTAAATGTATATATGTAAATTTTTGTTTACGTTTCATATGTCGTTAGCTTGGCTCTAAACTACAAGTCCGAATATTATTGTTTTTGCTTCTTTTTACCGTTAATTCTCTTTGCTTCTTAGTTGTGTTTTACTTTGAATCGATTTTAGTTTGTTGTTACATTACTTATTCGTTTTCGTTTTTGTTTTGTTTTACATAATTTCCACGTATTTTTAGGAACCTATTTGTAACTAGCAAAGCACAGACGCTGTAAAATTTCTTTAGAAAAAAATGTTACTATAATTTGGCTTACAATTAATTCATATATGTGTAACATCAAAATATATATCGTACAATTTATATATTCATTAGTGTACATACAATATATATAAATGTATATATGCATTGCATTACATTTACTCTTTAATAATTCAAGAATTCTTGTTTATTTTCTTCTTCTTTGTATGTTTTTTTTATTTATTTTTTTTCTTTTACAATGGCTTTGCGTTGAAATTTACTCAATTTTCAAGATATTTATTTAAAAGAAAAAATTTTCGCGCCACATGCAGAAATATAATTTTATTCATTTTATAATTTAAAAAAATATATATATATATTATTTTTAAACAATTTGTTTATAGAATAGTGTTTGTAACTTGAAAGTTTAAACTTCATTACATTAAGATGAAGGTTTTAACAATTCTAAGTTGGCGCACTTGTATTGGTTTTATATAGGTTTAACGTTAATTTACATCGATTATTAAATATAAAACCGATTTCAACAAAAGTTTGTAACTAACTTTTACAATATTCCTTTGATAAGTCACTGACTACACAAGTATCAAAAATTATTGTTTTGGATAACTTTTTTTTTACATTTTTATCGATTTTTAACATTGGCACGTTATTTATAGTAATTTATATATAATATATGAATTAGAAAATAATATATGTGAACCTTTATGTATACGCGTAATGTGTTATATTAACTCCATATGCAACTAGCAATCATGTTTGTTTATAATTGCGAAGGAAACATAAAACAATTCTCAAAAAAAAAAAAAAATATATATATATATATATGAATGAGCCAATTTGACGGTTTCTCGTAACAGATACTAAAATATCATAATGGATGCAAACAGATTTCATAAACGTAATATATGTAGTTTGAAAATGAATATGGGATCTAACTAAGCAACAAACTATATTAATTATTAAAAAAATCGCCTAAATTTTCTTTTTTCCTCTATATTTTTTTGTTTGTTTTTGCATTCACATATTCTCAACTTACACACGAAATAATGCTATTTATTCATGTATTTTCATGTCTTGTATTGTATACAAAAGATGTTTGTTTTTTGTTTGTTGGTTTTAAAGCATATTCAAAGCATTTCAATATAAGATTATTGTTTTTAACCTGATGCACGGCTGATTGTATTCTCTGTCGCCTAAATGCATTCTGCATGCTATAAACAATTACTGCAAGTAAATTCTACATCTTAATTTGTATATAATATATCATATCATATATGTATACTACGAATCTATGTACATATAGAGCTCTAAACGTTTGTCATATTGAAGAGGTCTACTACAACTACGTATGCACGCATCTGAGTTTTGTGCCATTCAGATAGGATTGAGGGGCACACAGGATTTACAGATATTGGCTGGTTTGAATCTAAGAGACTTACTATATAGTCTATATGAATATAATTTGCTCGCTGTTTCTGTAGCCATCCCAAACGCTAAGTTTTGTACAAAGGTATCGTCACAACGACCTGCTGTTGGCTTTTGTTTTGCTTTGTTGCACAACTAAACTGTTATCAACTTAGGATTAGGGCTAAAGCTTACCAACTAAGAGTTGTGTGTTATTTATTAAACTTAGACGACACACACGCACACACACACACACACGCATTCACCACACAAATACAACTACCATTCACACATACATGCGCTTTGGACTTTGGGCTTAAACATAGGCATTTAAATATAATATAACCGTTCATCTGTTTGTATATGCATAAAAACCAAAAACTGGCAATCCCTCAGACCGAATATGCCATTATTTTGACAACTTAGTTTCATTTATTATTCGCTGAGTTAGCGGCTGCTGTGGACGCGGGATTGGCTGAGGCATGGGCATGTGCGTGGGAGTTGGTGGCGCCTACTGTGCTGCCAGCACCACCGCCATTGCTAGCCTGCACAGGAGGCAGGGTATCGAAGCGGCGATAGTAGAGTAGGTAAGGCACACGCGGCGTGTGCGGTTGCAGCACTTGCTTCTCTCCGATCGGCTTCACCGAGCTGTCATCGTAGCGCAGCCAGTTGTTATACCCGGTATGAAATACATCCGTTATGTAATGGCCCTTTGAAGCCTCTTTGCCATCGTGATAGACCACAGCAAACAGACGATAGGTGCGCTGCTTCTGTGACGTCTTCTTCGAGCCGAGTATTTCTGCGAAACATATAACAACTGAGTCTATCTCCTTGAGGCCTGGAATATTAACTTACTGGCATCGATTTTGAGCTCCACTGGGAACTCGACCTTCTTCAGTATTTTTGTGCAGCCATCGGATCTGTAGTCAAAGTATTTTAAATGCAATATCAAAACGATGGGCAACTTTTCCACCGTCATTTGCTGCCAGGCAACCACTTCTTGTTTGCTCTTGCTGCCAGTGACGCCCTCTAGCTGATCACGACCCACGAGTATCTCCAAAGCCTCCTTCACCGACGCCGCTTTCTGCAATGATCATTCCATTAATATTCTTCCACCTAATATGCTATTCCACAATTTCACTTACCTCAATGTTCAATTGGAGCGTAAAGAAGGGCTGTATAACATCTGTGGAGTGTTCGCCTTCACGCTGAAGTCGCGAACGTAACTCCCCGCGGAAGATATCGCTCAGCGGAGTGCGTCCGAAATCAGTTTGGCGTGTAATGCTGCCCTTATTGCGATTGTTGCAAATCATCTGGAAAAATAGAGTATATTAATATTATATATATATGTATATATAAAGAACAAGGAATAAAGCTCTAGTCGAGACTTCTCGAGTACAAAATCCCCTAAACCCCTCGAGGAATTGATACTTCACAATAATTCCAGGGGTGGGGGTAAATTACAACTAAAATCGAAATTATAAAAAATACTTGAGTCTACATTTAAAATTTGCCGACTCTTCCTCTAAAGATATAATTCAATAACTATCCTTCGATAGGGTTTTTCACAAAATATACACACGGACATTTTAAAAGTCTCTAGCTCTTTTTCTTCTGAGATCGACGCGTTTAAGCATACGGACAGACGGACAGTGCTAAGTCGACATAATGGCGTTTTATCCTATTTAAAGACTAAAGCTTACTGTGATTGTCGATCAGCTGAACCAAAGATTAATATAAATGCTGAATCAGCATTGCTGATACGCATAGAACATCAGGCAATACTTTGATACATTAGGAAACAATTACCTGCCAATCGTCGCCTCCATCCTCGATCTCCTGTTCTTGCTCCACACCATTCTGCTGGGCATTTGGCTTGGCAATCAGCTTGATAATCTACACAAAAACAGGAATTCTTAGAGTTAGATCATTCACACGTTAAGGGAGAGTGAAACTCTACCTCGAGCATCTCATCGTTCAGCTTGTTGAGAACGTAGCCCAAGAACTCTTCAGCATCCTCCTGCCTGCCCTCCACGTGCTCCTCGCGGCTGTCGTTCCACAGTTTGTAGATTTCCGTGGGCTCAAATGCCAAATCGCACTGCAGATCAACACCGGCAAATTCATCCTTGCCCTTGATCTGAGCAGCTTTGTTGTTCAGGCGCAGGCGAGTGCCGCTCGGCAGCGACGAAAAGTTGCTCATATAAGACATCCTGAAAGGGAAGAACAAGAGGGTCATTTAGAAAAGGCTCTCAGCTCTAGGCATGGCAGATATAGATGTGCGTGCAGGCAGTGCTCACGATGCCATCGAAGGGCCAATCATGCGTACGCACCGTGCACTTGCGTTGGCCTCGACATCAGCGCAGATGGCGTCCAAAACGGAGGCAATCAGCGCATGCCAGAGAGACCAGCGACAATTGCTGTGCCACAGACGTAACACAGTCGCCAGCCTGTGTTGGCGCCGAGGCGTCTGTTGACTTGTCTGTGGCGAATCGAATGGGGTGGCAGTTGGGTCGAAGGCCATTCGCTACTTACATGGCGTTCACAGTGGGAGTCTTGACCTCGCTCATCACCGCCGCCTGCTTGGGTATGGACCGCAGCAGATTATAGAAGGGCGAGCAGCCGAGCAGTGCCTGCAGAATCGAGTTAATGTAGCAGTAATTAGATCGGTTAGTCAGGCCGCGCGGCCGCAAGCTAATGGGCGTCAGGTTGGTTTTGTAACGTATCAAGAAGTCGGCGTATTTGTTCGTCCACTCGTCGAGTTGGGCTGCGCGCGCTGGCTCCGCTTTCAGCGGTTTCACAGCTGCCGAGGCGGGTGGGGCCACAGCGGTTGGCACTGCCTGTGCCGAGGCCGCCGAATAGGAGAGTGCGCCGGGTGTGATAAGCGGGCCAGTTGGCGCCGGCACCGGCGTTGGCGACTGCAACTGATGATGAACGTTTGGCAGGTTCTGCGTAGGCGACGCAAAGGCCACTTGCTGCTGTGGCGCAGCCAATTGCTGTGGTGCTGCTTGTGACTGTGGTGGCACCAGTTGCATCTGCGACGACTGCTGCGGCTGTGGTTGCTGCTGCTGCTGTTGCTGTTGCTGCTGTTGCTTGTTGCCATCGTAGGGCGCCACTTTGGCCACGGGCTTCTTGCTGGAGAAGAGACTGGCCCAAGACGGCTGGCCGCTGTCAGCGCTGCTGGAGCTCTGCGAAGCAGGCGGTGCGGGTGGTGCCAAGTTCAGCGCCGGCTGCACATCTGCAGAAGTTGCAGCTGCGCTAAAGGAGACATCTGTGCTCGAGTTTTGAGTGATGTTTCTTGACTTGACTCCATAGCTCGCATGGGCCTTACCAGCTGGGGCATATTGGCCATGTTGTTGCTGCTGCTGCTGCTGCTGTTGTTGTTGTTGTTGTTGTTGTTGTTGTTGTTGTTGTTGTTGTTGTTGCTGTTGCTGTTGCTGCGGCGGTACTGTTGCATAGCTTGTGCTGTTGGACTGACTTTCAGTGGACGTCTGTTGTTGAAACTGTTGCGGTGTCGCAGTGATGCTAGCCGTTGAGGTAGTTGCTGTTGTTGAATTGCTGTTGCTCAGCTGTGGCTGTTGCTGTTGCTGCTGCTGTTGCTGCTGCTGGCCACTAATCTTGCGTTCCAGCGATGGCGCTGAGCTTGCAACAGGCGATGAGGGCACCTTCATCGTGCCATATGTGCGCACCTGTGTCTGGCTGTTGTTGCCAGTGCTGCTGCTACTGTTGTTGCTGTTGCTGTTGTTGTTGCTGTAGTTGGCCTGATAGTGCTGCTGCTGTTGCTGGTAGTGCTGCTGGTTTGTGTAAGTCTTGGTGGGATGACTATAGATGCCTCCGCCAACGGCGCTAGACTGCTTATTGAAGCCGCCACCAGTGGATGTTGCAGTTGTTCCACTTGCAGCAGCACCCGCAGCAACAGTTGCCCCATTGTTTACAGTGTTGGGCGAGGCTGTGACCGCCACCGACTGCGTGGACTTCTTGTGCTGGGCGGAGTTTGTCCACGACATTGTCTTGGTGGTTTGTATGGCAGTGTCGTTGCTGCCCTGATGGTGGTGATGATTCTGCTGCTGGTGCTGCTGGTGGTTGTACTCGGAGGAGTACTTGCGACGCACTTGCTGCTGCGAGCTGTTGTTGTACTGCTGCTGAGGTGGCTTACGCTGTTGCTGCTGCTGTTGCTGCTGCTGATGGGGTGTATGCTGCTGTTGTTGCTGTCCATGCTGCTCACTGTGGGCTGCCGTTTGTTGTTGTTGCTGCTGTTGCTGGGGCACAACTGGCGAAGTTTGCTGCTGTTGATGTTGCTGCGGTGGCACGGCCGCTTGCTGTTGCTGCTGGGGCTGCTGGTGCTGTTGCGGTGCTACGGTGGCAATGGATACAACCAGGTTAGATGCCTGCTGATGCTTATCAGCCTTTTGCTGTGGATAGTCCACCTCAAGTTTCTGCGGCTTCTCGTTGCTGCCAATCTGTATCTCCTCCAGAGTCAGCTCGTTGTTGCTCTTATTGTTGTTGTTGTTGTTAGTGGTGCTGGTGGTGGTGAGCAGCGGCTTATTAACTGTAAAAGATAATTTCAATTAATGAGCAACTGTCCAAATAAGCAAGAGGTCCCCTAAGTCCACCCCGTCTCTCTCTCTCACGGTATCTTTCTATTTCTCTCTCCCTCCCTCTTGGGGAACATAATACACCAATTTGCTGTATATATATGGAGTATACAAAATAATTTCTATTGCCTGCATAATTGATACCAATTGATGTCAAATGAGATATTTTCGTTCGGATCGGATGTCGTTGATGTTCCCAAATTTGGACGTCTTTTAATTGATTTGTTTTGCTATCGTGCCTCTAAGCAGGGCAGCGAATCGATAAGCAGATGACAGACATGGCATTTAGTGGATCACAATATCAAAAAGTCAATACCGAATCAGTTCACACGACGCTAATCAACAAAGACAATAGAAGAGATTCGCCCGATCGGCAATTAGGTGCCTCAGCTGCACTTTAATCGAGCAGAGACAACAACAACAAACACAATAACAATGCTGAGATAACGCCTCAGAAGTCGGCCCAGCAACTGGGCGATAAGGCGTTGCCCACTGCGAAAAGTATGCCAAAGCACTTAATCCATGTCCACTCCGAGTGCGATATGCGCCTCCCCCAAAAGAGATAACGACAGCAGCTACACATCCATTTCGTGCGGACAAACAACATTATTATGAGTAAATCACAATTGCTGCCTCGCACTGGAACACTGTGAACCTAACATATTTATGTAGTTGAACTTTGGGCCGTGCTCTGATACGGGCCGCTCGATAAACCGACTCGAAATATGGATGTCTGCCGATAAGGCGGCGACGACACTCAGCTGGAGCAGTGCTGAAACAAATGGAGCGAAACAATGCGCACGTGATGCGGAGAAGTCAACGATGTGAGGCTCCTCTCACCCATTGGTCGTTAATAAATGCCTAATTAATAATTCCCACTGATAGGGAGTGAGAGAGCTACGGCGGGTCTCGCCCCAAGTACTAACAATTACGCGCTGTAAATATTAACACCTGATAAGACCCCAGGCGAAGCCAAGGGCGACCAATCTCTCACGGCCCTCATGGGCGTGGTCGAGAGCCTCTGAGAAACTCAAGTTTGCACAGCTGATGAATCTCGCCATACTCTCACAATGCAATGAAAACATACATCAGATGAGATACTCGGATTATCCCATTCGTAATATTTATTGCTCAACTCAAATCGATCGGAGGCAAACTTCATTTCAAGTTCAATCTTGAACTGAATACTAGCGCAATATGTTATACCTACACACAAGATAAAATAGGAATCCAGTTTAATGCATTTGACGACCCAAAATTTGTATAAGTAAACAAAATTTGTTAAAATATTAAAGGAAAATGTTCGACACATTTTTTAACTGACAACAGTTTCAACTATGCACAGATCTTCTGAGGACTGAATGCAACATTTCAAGATATCTGGGCTGAGAGAATCAGGCCTCCTTTCCCATCAGCTGACACGTGGGGCAGCATGCCCCCATCCCGTGTGAAGCCGACAATTATAATATTAGATATGCCATTTGGAGTATGGGTGAGGATAGCTATTTAAGATTCTATTAGCGCCTGTATCATAACGAATGCTTTCAGTGCACAATTAAAAGGCGGTGCTAAATATTATTTACCCCACATCGTCATATGACAAACAGCAGAAATAGCAGCAGGGCGCCCAGTGGGACTCGGATTTCCAACAATAGTAGAGCACCCAGAATTTCGAGCTGAATGTGTTAATTAATTTCAATTAACGTCTAACGAGCGAGCCACTCAATAAATATGCCCACAATGATAGATAAAACTTGAAAATAAAATAAATAACAACTCGAATTCAATTGGATCAGAACTCTCAAAGGCGAAATGAAAATTTATAGAGCAGCAATTGAGTACAAAACAAATGCGAATCGAATTCAAATTACATAAATAACCTAGAGATTACAATAATAATAATAGTACTAAAAAAAAACAAAAAACAAAAAAAAACTGTGTCACATTCGGGTACGACGATGAGCTGAGAGAGCTGCAGTGCGACAAGGTTAGCTGGATAATTACAGAGCTGAGCGCCCAGGTAAATTACAAATTACAAATAACAAATAGCAACAACTATTGAAATCAGTAACAACAATAACAGTTAAACATGTTCAGCTAATAATAGAAGACAGCAACAAAAGGTTGAATGCAACAATGCAAACAAGGAAATCAACAGCGACACGAACAAGCGCGACTGTACTTCACTTTTGCACATCAAGGCGCCAGTTGGGTGGGAGCCAATGGGGCGGGGAGTGCCCAGCAATTGGAGGTGGAAGTGGAAGTGGAGGTGGGAGAGTGAACAGCATTAGAACAGTTGTGACGTCTACCTCACTTGGCTGGACAATTTCGCTTTCGATTTCACTATATAAAAACTGTACTACAGACACACACATGCACGCGCCACACACACAGAGAGACATATGACATGCACATATCGTATGACAGTTATACATTACGCAAATGAATTGGCGTTCCTCTCGTTACACTGACTCGAGCTATATATGAGCAATCGAGATTCTGTTGCCGGTTTGTTCGTTTTGCAGTTGCTTTTCCATTTGATATTTAATTGATTTTTCTTTACAAGCAATGCGACTCGAAACGGGGTCATCATCAGTCGCGGAGAGCAGCCCCCAAAAGCGGGGCTTCCGCCGTCTGGCTCTATCGGCTTCCCTCTGCTGTCTGCCCCCTTTCCCTCTCGCGCCTCGTCGACCATGCGCGGCTGTTGTTATTGAGCGCGCGATTTTATTCAATTTTTATTAGCTACAACAACAGCAACAACAACAAACAGAATAACACAGTAGGAAAATAAAAAAAACAATTGCCACATTTGAGTAATTTGCATTTGACTTACAATTTATAAGCCCATTAAATTGATAACCAACTCGAAATGAACGAAATTCAGTGAATATTCCGAATGACTCAAGTACTCACAGTTTCAAATTAATAAAAAAAAGAGACGTATATATATAAATGAGAAAAGAAAGCAAACAATTAGAGCTGGCAGAGCGTTTCATTCATTACTATACATTAATTGAAATATAGGACAAAAGTTCCATATTCCTCGCTCTTAAATAAACATGCAAAGAGACATTGTCACAAATCTTAACATGCCAGAATATACATTTCACATTTACTTTCAACTCCCCATATACCATTATTCATCTGGCATATCGCTTATCACTACGACAAAATGAGCTATGCTTAGTCATTTATGATTTGACTCACTGTATAGTATGCTGAAGCAACAACAAGCTACAAGAAGATACAAAAACAAAGCAACTCAAAGTGCAAAGTCAGGCCACAATATATATACATATATACATATGAATATATAATATACCTACTTGTATGAGCACTCACAAACTATTAATGTACACAAAAACGAAACAAAAATGGCACAGCTCTGCTTATTGTAGAATAAATTGATTAAAGCAAGTAAATATATTTGCTCGTATGCATTTTCAATCACAAATAATTTGTTGTTTATCAGTGAGTGGTAAAGGGCAACAACAGCAACAACAGCAACAACAACTTCAAAGCATAATGCAGTAAACAAATAAATCGTGATATAACTCTGTTGCCACACGTGGAACTCATTTAGTGCTGTTGCTGTTAATATTACCATTACTACTACAATTATTATTATTATTGTTGTTGTTGTTGTTGTTGTTGTTGTCGCTGCTGTTGTTGTTGTAGATAAATTGATAACGATCTAGCCAATTCGATTCGATGACAAACAAGCAACAGTTAAATACACAACTGCGTACACCATTGATTGCCTGGCAACAAGTAGTAGTAGTAGTAGTAGTTGTAGTAGTAGTAGGGCACACCCTGTGCCCGTGCCCGTGTGCACCCTGTTGTTGCTGTTGCTGTTGCAATTCAATTGAATTCATTTGTGTCAATTTACAATAAATAATAGCCCAAGAGCTGCGGCAGCCAGCAGCAGTAAGCAACAAGCCAAACAAATTGCATAATTCCCTAAGACGACAAACGGCGGCACGCGACCTTCGTCTATAACAAAACGAATTACCTGCCCCCACTGCACCGCCCCTGCCGCCGACGCACCACCTGTCAGCGGCACACACAAACGGCAAACAAGCGGCTAAGAACTGTAAAACTTTTTCTTATCAATGAAAGCACTAGCCAACAAATTATTTACGACGACGACGGCGACGACAATCGGGTTTCTTTCTATAAACTGGGCGGGGATTATATTCATTCTCTTCAATCGACACAATGTTGGTATTACTGCAAGTGAGTGGGGAGCAGCAGGGGGGTAGAGCTCAGTAAACCTCAGCAGTAAGAAAGGTGGAGTCCGGGCGAGTCGATCCACACAAATCCTTTTATCTGTCTGCCCGCTTAAAGCTCATTTTATCAGAGACATTCTATCTAAAAGCAAAATATTTTGTTTACAACAATTTCAAGAGGCTTACATTGGGATTGTATATATAAGAAACCAAACTTGGCAATTGAACATATGAATATTAGCCAATAATAAGTATATTTACAAATATAAAATATCCATTGATTCCAAAAAAACAAAAAACGGTGATATGCACACGGGATGTAGTAGAAATAGTCATATTGCAATACTGTAAAAGACTGCTCAACATAGGGTCTCTCATATTGATGAAACCCAATGCTGTTTGCAGGGTATTCCAAGGGGGATCGAGTAACCTTTTTTATTGTCGCTGATGGGTGCAGGCAGGCGACAGCTCAATTGGGTTCTTGGGGCTTGGGCTGGGATTGGCAGTTGGCCAACGGGATGGGTTCAATGGAAGGACACCAACGGCGCGACGACAGGATGAATGGTAAAGTGGCAACAGCAGTTACAGGAGCACGGCAAGGACACACGCTTCACCTGCCTAGCGGCTAATGTAAATGTAAATGTGTTCCTATGTGTATATGTATGTGTGTGTGTCTGTGTGTGTGCAACTGACATTAACATATAAATGTGTATAACAGTTGGCGCGTGGGTATCAGTCACTCGTTGGGGTACCACTGTATCAAGCAGGTACAAACGGAGGACAACAACAACAACAACTGCAACACGACAACATCGGAAATAGACAACAAACGATGCGCATGAAGAGCAACAAGTAAAATGCGAACGAAATATAAGCGAAGGAAAAGATAAAAGTAGCCAGCCATAGCACTGCGTCATTTTTTAAAATACATACATACATATTTATATATAACTACATATATGTATATGTGCATTGTGCATATAGAATGCTGATGTACATATACATATACTGTGACAACGAGGAAAACTGTTTCTCACAGCGTAAAAAATACACCTTTAAACAAAAGCGCACAAGCTGCCTGGCAGCGGCGCAATGTGGCGTATGCGCAATTTCAATTTCATTTCCCCCATACCATTGCAAGAATAAATGAAGAAAGAAAATAAAATAAAATCAGCGAAATGAAAACAACAATAACTGAGAAGAAGGTTGTTAAGAAATTCTTGAACCGGCCAAGAGGCGATGACATTGGTGTCTTCAATACACAAACGCATCTAGAAAGGCGCATTCAACTCTTTCGCAGAATAAAGGAAAATTTTCATGGGAGAGTAAATGGACAGCACAAAGCAATTTTTGCTGTGCCATAAACTTAAGAACGCTCTCTTCGAGAGATGGAGAGAGAATAATTAAATAATGAAAGATTATCAGAAATAAATCACTCTTCTTCATTTGAAATCAATGTTTGTTCTATTACTCTTCATATTATCCTACTCTTTATTATTAATTTATTAATTTATTTGTCCGCTTTTCTGGCTTGGGCCCAGAAAATACACCTATCCCATTTGCTCGGATGAAATTGTGCAGGTAATTCAAACACCTGCTGCATGTACAAAATGTTTTGTGGTTGGGTGGGCGTGGCACTGCAGCCCACTCAGTGCTTGCACCGCCCGACGTTGGCCTAGTGCCACGTGTCGAAACCAGCACAGCCTGATTTGCATTTCAAGTCAAGAAATTTATGCATTTCAAATGAGAACACACACACACACGCATTGTTTGTGTGTGTGTGCCTTGCTTGTGGTATAACAGTTTAGTCTTGTGTGCATATTATATTTCGATTTCGAGAATTACACGATGTGACCAAGCCAATTGTCCAATTTCCTTGTCCTAACAACTACTATCACATGAAGCGAGGGTGGGGCTACCAGAGGGCGGCTAATGCGCTAATATCATGGCAAATCAAATTGTCAAGAACTGCTCTGCTGCCCTCTGGCATTGACCCACAAGTCACATGGCTGTAAGTGTGCGCGCGTGGGTGTACGGGTGTTTGTGTGTGTGCCTTACAATTTTATGAATGACATTGAGCAGCCACACACAGTGATTAAACGGTTTGTCAGAAAAGAAAATCCTGTTAAGAGAGAACCTACCCTAAGAGAACCTCCGATCGGAATTCCCTTAAGCTCAAACTCACACCAAAAGCAAAACTGTTCTAATCACACGTTCGCATTACTTCAAGACTAAAAATAATCCGTTTATAGGGCTATAAAAACTGTGAAATTAGCACGCTCTGCTTATCAAAAAGTAAAAAAAAAAATGTATATACATACATATATATATATTGAGCTATGTATTTATTATGCACAGTTTTCGCTTCTGTTCGGGGCACTTTCGAAGGACTCGCATCGGCGGCGCCCAAAAGGCGGCACGCCAAAAAATGTTAAGAACACAGAACAACACATTCAGGCGGCATACAGACGCATGGCGAGAAAGTAAAAGTTTGAAAGTCACACGTTGTTAACCTTTAACCTAAATCAAAACTAAGAGCAACAGTTTACGCTCTTTCGCTGCGTCTTTTATACGGGCAGACGGCTAAAACTGTTATACGTGTGCCGGTTTTGTCTGGCCAGGCCTGCCAAAGCTAAGCAACAAAAAAGTAACAGACATTTCGGAAAAGTAAGACAACCCTTAAGAAAGTGCGTCATAGATGAGGGTAGTTCACCAGGCGGGTTGGGTTGCTATGCAGATGGATGGGCCACTATGTGAAGTTGATTGTCTTCAATCTGTGTGAAACGTTTCAACAGCCAACATTCCTGTTCGCATTGACACCGTTGTTGCTCTGGTTTCTCTTGTTGTTGTAGCCGCTGCCGCTATGGCTGCCTTTGGCAATGTGCACATCAGCTGTTTCTGCCAAACGCAACCCTTGCGCCGCATACCTGTAAACCAGCGCGAGCGAGCTTCACACAGCCGAAGAGAGCGCAAAGCCAAAGAGAGCGCTGCGGCCAACAGAGAGAGCGAGAGAGAGAGAGAGAGAGAGAGAGCTTGCGCGCTTGAACTTCAAATGCGTTGCATGAAAAATAGACATCGACATCGGCGAGGCAATCGCAATGTCAGCAACCGCATGGCGAGAATATATTTTGTTGCCGTCGATGGCTGTTGTTATTCTCAATATTTATTTTGTTGTTTTTGCTTTTGCTTTTGTTTTTGGTTAGTTGCTTTGCCCATTTGTTGTTGTTTGTAATTGGAATTGCGTTTGTTGTATAAGGTTGTAACGTAGTTGTTGCCTTTGCGTTTGCTTTCGCATTTGGTGTCTTTGTAGCTGGCAGTTTTGTGTATCGCAGTATAACAGTTCTAGCAGCCCCGTCAGTCGGTTTCAGTCGTCCGTGGGTAACGACGAATTTTCATTTTCATTTTATATCGAACAGCGCAGCAGTGACGACGGAACAGTCTGTGTGCGGTGCTTTTTGTTGGTATCTCTCGCGGCGCACAAAGAAAAAATAAAACTTGTATACACCCAACGCATATATTAATAATATCTATGCATATAGGTGAATTAATAAACCAAAGCTAGTCATCAGACTCGAGTTCAAGCCTTTAGTTCAAACTGCAGCTCGCTGCAAGCGTCAATCGTTCTACGTGTGATTAAGTGTGAAACACGTAAGCCAAGTTCCGTGTGCGCTTGTGTTATTGCTGCTGTTGTTGTTCTTGGTGGATTTGTTTTCATTGTAGTTGTTGTAGTCGCTGCTACTGCTCGGCCTGTTTCGTTCAATTCACATTTTATCGATCACACGTTGCGGGGCCGTCCGTCGACAGAGTTTTGCTGTGTTCTGCTGACGCCAGGAATTTGTATTTAATACACATTTGACAATTTCATTTCAATGCTCAACAAATTATACAATTGCATTGCCATTATCGACATCAGCAGCAGCAGCAACAGCAGCGCCAGCAAGAGCAACGCCGAATACGTACAGCACCCCCAAAAAGCAGAAGTGGCGATAGCGGCGGCGGCGGCGACGTCGGCGGGCAGCAATGCAAAAATGTGCCATACATAAAAGCAGCAGAAGCATGTTCTACTAGCCCCAAAGACAACAAATACAAATACAAATACAAATACAAAAGCAAATGCCGAAGCCGAAGCGAAATTAAAAGTAAACGCAAAAGTGCAAAGTCAAAGACAAAAGCAAAAGTTCAGCCAAAGTTTGCAACGCCAAAACAAAAACAAAAACACAATTTTTAGTTAGGTCAGCCAACTGCAATCTATACAATCTATGCAATCTATTCGAATAAACAAACTAAAAACAAAACAAAGTCAAGCACAATCAAATCCACAGCACAACGTGACAAACAGTAAAAACTCATAGACCGTTATTTAATAAATTCAAATATGTATGTATAGTTGTGGTCGCTTTCCCCCCCAACTCTCATTTGCTGTCGATAATAATGCAGAATAAGTAGTTACAATTTAACAATAACAAAGCACGCACATATCTCAAATAACGGCATCCAAAGCTTCGCTGTTAACTCCCGTGGAGAGCAAAACTTAAGAGTGGCAACGCCATAAGCATTGCAGAGTATTGGGGAATGGCAGAGAGCACGTTAAATGCTGAGCGCGCGCAAAGATAAAAACAGTAGCAGCAACGGCAACAGCGACGTCGGCAGCGACAGCGACTGCTCTAAGGCTCGCATAACTGGCAACGGCACCGAGCGCGACACTTCGGCAACGCATAACAGACAAATCGACGACTCTGACTCCCTCCCGCCTACGACTGCTGGCGGAGTCGAGCGAGTAAGCGAGCGGGCGTGCAAGTGAAAAAGAAAAGAAACACAAAACGAAATTCAAATTGAAGTAAAACTGAAAGAAAAGAATATTTGCTTGAAATTCTGTCAAGTGAGAAGTAAGGCAAAAGTAAAGTTTGTGCGCTAGCAAAGCGAGCTAACGGATTAACGCAAGCGACTACAAAGCACCCACAGCAAAACACAGTTATGGTGGACAGCAATAGCAATACTAATTCAGGGTCGGCGGCAGCTGGCGTTGGCAACTCGGCGGCGCGCCTGCGCAAATTCGAACGCACGGAAAGCGAATTGGCATGCGAGGAGGCGGCACGGCTAACCGCCGAACAGAACGACAACAGTCCCGAGGATGACAACGACGAGGAGGACGACGACGACGGCGGCGATGATGAGGACGAGGTTAGCGTCTACGGCGAGCTGCCGCCGCCGCCAGACGGCGGCTATGGTTGGGTCATATGCTTCGCCAGCTTCATGTGCAACATGATCGTTGATGGCATCGCCTACACTTTCGGCATATTCCTGGAGCAGTTTGTCAGCTATTTTCACGAGGGCAAAGGCACCGTCGCCTGGGTGGGCAGTTTGCTGTCGGGCGTCTATCTTAGCGCCGGGCCCATCGTCTCCGCCCTGGCCAATAAGTATGGCTGCCGAGCAGTTTGCATCGCCGGCAGCGTGGTTGCCTGCATCGCCTTCGTTCTGAGCACGTTCAGCGGATCTGTGGGCATGCTTATGGCCACCTATGGCTTCATGGGTGGGTTTGGCTTCGGCATGATCTATTTGCCTGCTGTCGTGGCCGTCGGCTACTATTTCGAGACGAAGCGCTCCCTGGCCACGGGTATAGCTGTGTGCGGCTCCGGCTTCGGCACGTTCGCCTTTGCTCCGCTAGCCACCTACTTGCTGGAGGAGTACGGCTGGAAGAATGCGCTGCTCATCTTCGCTGGCCTGATCCTAAACTGTGCCATCTTCGGCGCCATGATGCGTCCACTCACCTATCCCAAGAAGAAGAAGGTCAAGCCCCTGATGCAGCGCATGTACGAGGAGAAGCAGATGCAACTGGAACGCGGCTCGTTTGCAGGCTCCCATTTCATGGTCCAGCTGCCGGATGGCACCATGGAGCGTAAGCTGAAGATGCCCTTGAATGCCGACCCAGGCGTGCATTCCAGCCTCAATCTCGAGCTGCTGGCCCAGCAGTCCGGAGGACTGCATCCGGTCTCAACGTTGCCCACCATCACCGAATCCAAGGTCGTCGAAATAAATGCTCAATCCCCTCCAAACAATGGCAATGCCGATAGCAATGGTCAACTATCCACGCGCTCGGGTCGTCGCTCGCAGCGCAACTCGGAAAGTGAGCACAGTCCGTACCATTCGCAGGATGCGATGATCCGCAACGCCTCCCAGCCCGCGTTCCTTGCTGGCGATCACCAGAGTCTTCCCAAGAACGGGTCGGTGCCGTCCTTCAGTCGCGTCCGCAAAACATCCGGCAGTGAGCGCTATCAGCCCTCATTGGCGGCCATACGCGCCTCCTCCCGCGGCGATATTGAGGCGGGTGCTGGCGGTGACTTCAATACCTCAAAGTTGTCGCTGTCCCAGCGTCAAGGCAGTTCCAGCGGCAGCGGCGGACGCATGGTGCGTCCAATGTCGCGCAAGGACATCTTCTACTCCGGCTCCGTCACGAATCTGCCCCAATATCAGTCCCAAAAGTCGCTAACAAACTACCGCAACTCGGTGCTGTCCCTCACCAAGTACGAGAAGAGCATGCAGAGCATGCGTCTGGATCCCCTCGCCGAGGCGGACAAGCATCGGGAGGAGTACGACCTGTGCCCCTGCCTGGGCATACCTGATTCGGTCAAGTCTGTGGTGAACACCATGCTGGATGTAAGCCTGCTCAAGGATCCCGTCTTCATGCTGATGGGCGTGTCCAACATATTCGGCATGGCCGGTTTGTACGTGCCGTTCGTCTACCTGGTGGATGCTGCCAAGGAGCACGGCATTGCCAAAAACGACGCCGCAATGCTGCTCTCCATCATTGGCATCACCAACACCGTGGGACGTGTCCTCTGTGGCTGGGTGGCGGATCTGCCCCAAGTCAATTCGCTGCTGCTCAACAACATCTGCCTGCTCATTTCCACAGTGGCGGTCACCCTGACTCCGCTCTGCTACAGCTATGGCGCCTATATAGCCATGTCCGTCGCCTTTGGAATTGCCATTTCTGGCTACATCTCGCTAACGTCAATTATTCTGGTCGACCTGCTGGGCCTGGACAAGCTCACCAACGCCTTCGGCCTGCTCATATTGTTCAGAGGATTCGCTGCACTGCTGGGAACGCCGCTGGCGGGCTTAATCTACGACTTAACTCAGACCTACGATCTGCCCTTCTACATGGCGGGTGCTCTGTTTGCCGTGTCCACCATCACCAGCTTCCTGGCGCCCTGCATGAAACGCTTCAGTGGCTCAGACGAGACGCCAGTGCACGCTGAGACGCTGACGCCCATCGACGAGGAGCAGGGCGAGGATGCCGAGGATGAGGACGAGGATCAGCCAATTACCATAGTGCCCAAGATCATCAAAACTCTGCCTAGTCCACAGCAGGAGGAGCCACTGCAGCCATTCCCCACCACGCAACAGAAGCCAGCAGCGACAACAACGGAATCAAAGCTCTAAGCGACAAGAATTTAGCACACAAACAAATAATATAATAAAGCGAAGAGAGCGAACAGGAATGAATGAATTAAGAGTAGAGTGCGATATTTTTTTAGCAACTTATACAAAGAGGAGGAGCCCCGGCTTGGCGGTGAGGCAAAGATCAAAGCTGACATCAGAGATGGACAATCGGGGATCGCAGATTAGGCAGGGGCAGGCCCAGGTCCAGGCAAAGCGAAAGTGTTGTAAAGAGAGCACACAAAAAAAACTATCTATATATATAATATATATATATATATATATATATAAACTATATATTATATGTATAACGATACAAAAACCGAAACTATGCCTAAGCAACTATTCAATATACATACAACAAATTATAGATTTGCTTGATGGCAACTTAGGAACTTTAAGCAAACTTGGCTTAGCTTCGATAAGATTGTAGCAGAGCTCTGCTGCCATATATAATTAGCTATATAAATATATTAATATATAACACGCTCATAAACCAACAACAACAATACAAGCAACAACAACAACTAGGAACTTTGATAAATTCTGATTGATTATAGTTTCAAATGTTATTATACAACAATAGCGAAAGCAACAAAATCTAGATTGTAAAATATTTTTTTATTATTTGTTTGTTAAATTTTACGACTTTTAATATACCATTATGTACGATTATTATTATTATGATTATTATTACTACTACTATTACTATTATTGCAAATGTATTTGTATCTGTACATGTATTATAGCAACTCTCGATCTATATTATAACTGTTGTTGTGCATTCGTTGTTATACGGCAATTGTTTAAATGTGTCATACGGTCTAGTTATAGTAGAAAGAAGGAAAGGAAAGGAAAAAACACCCGATAGCGAATAGCGATTGGAAAAGTGAAGCAACAAAAAATTACAAAATAAAATAAACGAGTGTAAAGCTTACTATTCTAATAGTTAGTTACTTTTTTGTATGTATAAATATGGCAAAGCGATTAGCTTGTAAAGCGTGTAAGCCACTTAAGAGCAGAGGAGAGAAGGAGAGCAACAACTTTTGCAGACAACGCTAACTAATAAAATTTTATATTAAAATATTATATGAACGAAACCTTAAGCAAAAGCCAACTGAAATTGTTTTCAATTTTTTAACTAATAATGTATATGTACAATAACAAGAAATGGCAACTTTATGGCTCACATTTTGTATATCAGTGAAGTGAAAGAATCGTGCAAATATTTCTGACAAGTCCATGACAAAACAAAACAAATTTTTAAAGGCTTGTGCGTTTTGTAATACACAAGAGAAACTATTAACAAAATATACATACATATATAGATTGTGTTATACATATACATGTATATATTTATATTTTAAAACTAACCAAATGTATAGAGTGGGGGACACCCCCCCCCCCCCACACACACACACACACACACACATACAGAGCAATAAAATGCAGTCTTACGCCGTTTACACTCACACTTAGACATGCTCCTAACTGAAAACAAAACAAATTTCAACTGTTATACGCAACAAATATAGAAAACTTAAAATGAGGGCGCTAAGCTATGCTAAACTAAATTCACAGCACTAAGCAAAGCTGAACAATAAAAATGTTAGAAGAAAACCAATCAAAAAAGAAAATAAAAACATTTTCAAAATAATAATAATATGAATTTTGATAATCTGTTATACGGGTGGCTGGTAAGATGGTAACGTAACACATGTCTAACAATCGGTTTCAGGCTCTAAAAATCATCGATCAAAGTTCAGATAACGATAATTCAGTTGGCACCTTATCGAATTACCTTGTACTCAAGCCACGAGAACTCTATATAAATAGCAATTATGGGCGTGGATTGGAGTGGTGTGGACGTGCGCCACACTCACAAGCACTCACAAATCGCAGCCCGGTAGATTAGCCTAATCAATAAATGGCGTTTAAATGAGCCCTACGAGTTGCTGGTATTGCGAAAAGCACTTACACACACACATATCAATCACATATCAATCTAGATGTGCTTACGCCACTGCGTGATATCGGGGTATCAAAGTATTGACAAAGTCGCCCCGCCAAGTGCTGCGAAAATAACAAGAAAATGCCCAGAGAGACATTTCACAAATTTAACAGGGTAAACACACTCACACTCACACACACACACATACATACATACAGAACTGGACAGCTATCAATTTCGCCTTGGGCCGGGTGCATACTATACATGTGAGCCATGTACGCGTGAAGTATCGGTTCGCTTTGCTCTGCTTTGCGGGCCGTAATGGCCAATGGCCAACAAAAATGTCATTGACTGTGCGGTTGATAAGGCGGAAGGCACAGCATGGGCGAAGCTAAAAGAAGCTCAAAGAAATGTGAACTTAAGAACCGCTCATTAGAACTATGAAGCACATTCATAATGTGTAATACTCATAAATATTTATAATTGTATTATTCATTTTCATTACTCGAATTCATACAAAATTTCTTATGCAAAAGCAATTAGGGAAACCTCAAGACCTCAATTGATATACCCGGCTATAACAATGCACTGGCACAAATACATCAGCAAGTGGATCATGACGTTGACGTACCATAAACTGTATACATATACACAAAGACTCGCGATTGATAAGAATAAAGAACGCACAGCAAAAATAAGAAGCACAAAGCGACAGATATTGTCCTCTTGAACAGCCGATCAGTGGCAAGAACGAGTAGAATCGAAGTTAAATAGAATATAGGCGCAAGTATATGTAAGTGATGTCTAGACAATAGGCCCCGCACCTGTTAAGGGGCTTCGGCCCCAAGTGCTACCCCTCATAACCAACTCGAGCAGGCAATACAAGCACTCAGAAACAATTCAATCGGATCGCAGCAGACCAAGCAACAAGCGCCTAGCAACAATACGAATAAATCACTCGGAAAGAGCTGCCCCAGCAATTAAGCAAAACTATAAAAAAAATTCAAAGGTATGCTAGCTACTGAATGACGAATATCATATACCCTTACTGCTGATGTCTGATAATTACAAAGCTCGAGTTAAAGGGAAGCAAACTTAATCAAGAGAAACAAAATAATTAAAAAATTGGCTCTTGTTGGAGAATTACAAAAATAGGAGGAAATTAACCATACAGTGTGCGTATATCGCAGCTATATCCACAGATTTTGGGATTGCCCAAAAATATATATACAAAAATAATAATAATGCTTAACTTGACTCAGCTAAATTATTGCAAATTATAGTGCCCCTTATAAGTGTATCACATAAAAATGAAAACATTGGAAGGCGTCGCAGCGACGTCCCATATCATGTGATATTTTGGGTTCACCTGACTCAAACGCAACTGAAACCCCAAACGACTTCAACCGAGCACAAAAACCCGGAGAGTCAGCACAAATTACATAACATAAACACAACCAAAGATGGAGTTCATGAAAAACCTAAATTATTTCTCATATGAAAAATTCTCACAAAAGGCTCAAGGTTTGCAGAAACATAACGAGCTCAATGTAAATAAATTAAATCAATTCATATTCATCCATGTTTAATGAATACAAAATTCAATTAAATTCTCAATCAATTAATGGAGAAAATGTAATTTTAATTTACTTCGATTGATTTATTCTTGATCCGAAATTGATGATATTTCTTGAAAGTCAAATTTTAAGGAGTAAATTATAAATGATCATTTAAATATTTCTGACATGCCTCCAAAAGTTAAAAACGAGTGCAATTTAAAGAGAATGTTTATCGACCTAACTTTTATCTATTCAACGGAAGCACAATTCACATGTACTTTTACCACTTGAATTAACATGAATTTTATTGGAATCAAGTTCTATGTGCCTTAGCGCGAAGTCATGCTCGAATAAATTGCGATTGATAAACAAAAAATACCCAACAGACGCTATCAGAACTTGTTTATCATTGATGAAAATACCAAGATAAATAGAGAAAGGCTTTTTCATCAAGTATCCAACACTATCGGAACGATCCCCCAGTAAGGAACACTGCTATCATCCGGAATAATCAATTTGTGGCACTTACCCAGCGCTTCCTGTGGGGCTGGTGGGGTGGGCGTCTCCGCTTGAGGTGGTTGGACAGGCAGCTGCTGTTGCGGCTGCTGCTGAATGATATGATGTGAGGGAACGGCCTGAACCAGCATGGGCTGAGGCGGAGCATCTGCTGGCAATGTCCAAGCAGCGGGAATGCCAGCAGGCGCAGCTCCACATTCGGAAAGCTCGTCATCATACTGCCACAGTAGGTAAAAGATGAAAATAACACTACGCTTAACTGTGGATCACTCACCTGTGGCACTGGTGCGGCAATGGGATGCATAGCCTGAAGAGGAGCCAGCTGTCCATCTTCATAAATCTGCATGACGCCCATCTGCTGTTGCATCTCATGTATTTGCTGAGTATCGTAGATGGGATAGTTGGGGCTCAGCATGCTCGACGTTTCCGGTGATGTCAAAGTGGAGCTGTTGTGGTTGAGCTCGTCGCCATTCGCATGCGCCATCTCCTGGTAATCTTCGGCATACATATGCGTTGGATGCCAAACCTGGCGGTCATCAACTACGCCGCCCTGCGGCTGGCCACCATCGTCGGGCAAGTATTGATATTCAGACGGCTGCATAAGGGGCTGGTAGAAACAGCCGCCCATGTAGTTGTACATGGGTGCGCCATTGTATAGCGGTATATGCGATATATACAAGGGCATGCCAGTGGCCGGATGTGGAGTGCCTGCTGCATTTGGCGGCGCTGGTATGGGACCGTGATGCGGCGCAAAGTAGGTGCCCTGATAGCCGCCATATGCAGCGTACGGATGCGGAGCGTAATAGGACACTGGTTGCAGCTGTGCCTCCGGCGGTTGCTGCGGCACCATTTGGTCCGGTTGCAGTTGCATGGCGTTCGGGGCCGGGCTGGTGCCGTCCGGCTGCAGTTGCTGTGGCTGCTGCGGCGGCAACTGCAGTTGCTGTTGCATGTGACGTTGTCCGTGGTAGTCGCCACGACGTTGGCCACCACCACCGCCGCGTGTGCGGCCGCGTCCACGATTGCGTCCGCCCATACCGGATGAAATGTGGCCATTTGGATTGCCTTGATGGTGTGGCATCGGCGCTAGTTGTGGTATTAGCGGATTGCCCTAAAAGATAAATAAATTCAAATTAATCACATGTTCAATTACACTCAATTATTAGATTCAAACTCACCTGCTCCGGTGGCAAGTCGCCATGCGCACTCACATAATGGGTTGGAGCTCCTCCGCCTGGCATATAGGCGGTCTGCGGCCAGTTATGGAGATTCACATTGGCGGTCAAATTGTTTACAAAGAAATTGCTGGGCAAGGGTGCCGGCAGCATCGGAGAGGGATGTAGCACGGGACCGTGAGCACCCTGTGGCATGTGCGGATGATGCGCTGCTCCATGGGCAGTGGACATGTAAAGAGCTTGGGGCTGCTGATTGTATATTGTGGGAACAGCATTCACTGCGTTGCCATTGCCATTGTTGTTGTTATTGTTAGATGACGACACAATGCCGTTATTGTTGTTGTTAATGGGCGGCGGCTGTGGTGTCGTTGGAGTGGACACTGGCGTCGCCGGTGGTGGCGGTTGCTGCTGCTGTTGTTGCTGCTGCTGCTGTGCAACCGGCTGCTGCGTCTGCTGCGCCATAATTGGAACGACTGCGCTACACTGGCAACGCAGTTGGCAATGTTGACGACTGTCGGTGCAATCGGATTTGGTTTGGCGTTTCTGGACGTATCTCAGGATATGCACAGCACATGAACACGACACACGCCAAACATTGAAGTTTTTACTGCGAAACGACAAAAATAAAACCTAAAGTTAACACAAACGAAGCGCCAAAATTTGAGGTTAAAATGAGATCGCTGCAAAACATCTGGCAACACCGCACAGCTGTGGGCCACAGAAGCAAGCATAAAAAAAATACAAAAAGACAAATAAACAGAGAGAGCAAGTGCCAGAGAGAGCGAGAAAGACTGTGCTCATACTGTACCGGGTGGGGTGACAGCCCCACTAGCCGCTCCCCGACGACTACAAGTGGCGTTCAGGTGTCAAAAATATATAATACAAAACAACATGAATTTGCATGTCCAAGCTTAATGCCGGCTGGCGAACAAAATGTATTGCTATAGTTTGACACACACACATACGGAAATAAACAGGAACGAGTGACACATGCACGTAAACACACACACACCTGTAAAACACTACGTCACTCAACCGAACAAAAAGAAAATTTTATTGCAATCTGCAGACATCGAGTCCATGAAGTGTCGAAATTCCAACTAATTCGAATTGAGTGCGTAACTTAAGCATGTAAATGCACGCATTCCAATGTCCAATGGCGGCGTAAGCGACCGACCGACCCAGCAAAGAGAACACCACGTTGACGGCGAAAGAGAGCGGCGGAATGTGCCGCAGGGACAGACGAATGCTTAGGGGCGAGACGTGCGGGCGGTCGGTTGGTTGGTCAGGAAAAGTGCGTTGCGGGGACTTACCTTTAATGGTACGCCAATGGTCATTCAATTGTGTGGCAAATCTTTCATGTTTTTTGCGTGCGGGCGGCCCCACGACAGTGCGGCGGGTGGCTGCTGCCAATGAATAATTCGTGCTTCAGATTCACTTGCCGCGGCACTCTTTTTTCCAAATGACACGACGAATTCTGCAAGCAACTTTTCCACTAGACTTTACTGTCGCGTCGTCTGCTGGTTTATTTAACACTGTTACTCTCTGCATGCGCCACCCGCACACGCTCAATCGTACAAAAATGGAGTATACAATTTGTACCGCTTGCACAAAGTCTTAATTATTTTATTTGCATGTGCAACAAAAAAATTCTTTTATTTCGTTTCTTTCACTCGTGGTGACAGTGTGACCTGTTAAGCAACAGCAATCTTTACAGTGAAGAAATATTAACAGTTGCTCGTTTCTGTGAGCTAACAGAACACAACATTCTGCAATTATTAACAGTGTAAGAACTAAAAACTTCACATGGCCAAAAGTCCAAACAGGTTTAAAACTAACTGTTTTAAAAAGTCAGAATCTCTTGTTATATGACTATATAACATCGAATTCAAAATTAACATATGCCAATTTGCTTCAAACGGCTATCGATAGAAAGTGCGTTAATAACAGTCACATAACAAAAGCACGAAATGTGTGAGCCCAAAATCTATCGATAACATTTGTAGTATTAAAACACTGACCAGAGATTAAAATTAACTTAATCGGAAAACGAAAAAACGATAAGAAAGATATTGATTGTATTTTGTTTTTATGTTGCTAATTGTATTAAAGCGTTTAACCACTGACCAGAGAACACATAGACTAGACATGTAGAACAAATTTTTCTACAGCTCGA